TTGTTTGAATGCTCCGTGTCAGTTGTTTTCCTTGGAGTGGCACGCTTACTGTACTCATTTCTGAGAAACTATCACAGATGAACACCTGATTTTAAATAGTAATACTTAGAAAATTTTAGAAAATACAATATACAACTTATCAGAGCAATGATGTTATTATATGGGATATAGCCCTGAAATACTCCACTGTATACTTTTGAGGGAATGAGCATGAAAAAGGCAAGTAATGTCAGAGTGTTAAAAAATAAGTTTTACCTTGCAGATTCTTTGAAAGGGTCTTGGGGACCCTCATTAGTCCCTGGAAAACCACTGTTTTACATTTTACAAGGTAGAACACATCAACTCTGAATTATCTTTAATTAAACTGGTAAACGAATCTTGGAAGACTCCACTACTTCTGGGGTGAACCAGTACTAACTGCCTGAGGAGGCAGAAGAGGGCTTCAACCACCAAGAGCAACTCCTTAGGTTCTACTCTAACCTTCTCACCTGGTCTGGGGATGAGCCACTGCAGACAGTCCCCAGGTTCCTGCCAAGTCTTGGCATTAGTCAAGCCATTCTGTGGCAACCAAAATTTGGGCAGTTTTCTTTCTTTTTTTTTTTTACTTTAATTTTAGGTAATCTATGACCTTCCTGCTACTGCACTGAGTTGATTCTATTATTTTATATTAAAAGAAAAGAGAGCACATTAATGCCCCTTTTTTAAAACCAATAAGAGTTATTATGGTATGAAAGTAGTGTGTCCTTTATTGATTAGACCCTTGAATTGTAAATTACTTCTAAGTAGCTGTTTCTAAAAGTGTGCTTGGAATTTATAAATATGATGAATGGGAAATGTATTAAAAATAGTATTAAATATATGTATCTTTATTATTAGTTAAAAATGTTAGTTAACTTTCAAATAGATAGGTTAGCAATGTCACCTTTCATCCCTACAACTCATTTACAGAAAAAAACTAATTATAACTAATAACCCTAAAATACTGTTATTAATTTAATAAACATCTCTAGAAACTACTTCTTTATTATAATTAACTCTAGGCATGGTAAAAAAGAAATCCTGTCAAATATAGTATAATTTGAAGTCCTACAGTATGAGGAGATTTCGTCTAGATAAAAAGTTAAGACCTTGAAGACTATTATGTTAAGTAAAATGAGCGAGACATAGAAAGACAATTATTGTATCATTCCACTTACATGAAATACACAGGACAAGTTCATGGAGGGAGACTGAAAGTAGATTAGAAGGATAGGGGGCAGTTATTGCTTAGCGGTTAAGAATTTTTGTTTGAGGTAATGAAAAAGCTTTGGGAATATATAGTGGTGATGGTCACACAACAATATGAATGTAATTAATGCCCCTGACTTACACACTTAGAATGGTTAAAATGGCAAATTTTATGTTATAAATGTGTGTGTATATATATATCACCAAAAAATTTTTAAAAACTGATCATGTAATATACCCAAAACCACTGAATTGTACCTTTTTAATGGGTAAACTGCTGTTTCGTATGTGAATTATATCTCAATAGAAATGTGTTTTTTTTTTTAAGTTTTTAAAAGTTCATAATTTGGTCTTCAATACTCAAAAGACTTGTTACACGAAAAGGGCACAGACTTGCATAGTGTGACTCTGGGGACAAAACTAAGGCCTCCAAAACATCAATTATAGGGAGGAATATAGTTCCACTCCAAACAAGGAAGACACAACAGCCAAAGCTGTCCTGAATCTTCAAATGTCCCCTTACAGAGCAGAGAGCCATCACTGGTGGGTTTGGTTTAGCAAAGGCCCACCCGTCAGGAATGCACAGGGCCCCTAAAGGGTTCATAAATAACTTGAGTGTGGAATGCAAAAGTGTGTGTCCATGTTTTTTCTCAAGAGTCCTTATGTTGAATTCTCAAAGGGGACAATGGCCCCCAAAAAGGCTAAAAGGCCACTACTATTGAGGAAATTCCAGCATTTCAAGGGATGTTGCACGAGATCTGAAAACTTCCAAATCTGAGGCTGTAAACCTCTACAGGCCACACTTCCTGCTAAGGAGTGTAATAAAAGAGCACTTAAACTACACAGGACACAAATGACCTGTGGTCCAGAACTGAAAAGCAGAGCCCTCATTAGACAAGTAAAATGTACTCCCCAAAATGCCCTCAGGCTAAAATTTAGGTGAAGTGAAGATAATGCTTATTGGGGTAAGGTCTAGTCAGATTAAGTTGCTCCTCTTCTCTGCTCTCATAGAACCAAAAGCTATTCCTTACTCTCATGAGCTAGTCCCTCTCCATCTCCCTGAACATCAAACACTAGAAACACCCCAGGGCACAACCCTCAGCCTTGCTCTGCTTTGTTTACCTGATACCATGGCTTTAAATACCCTCTAAAAACAGAGAACATCCATATTTACAATATGGTAAAAGTCTCTAGGTAAAAGTCTCTAAATCCCAGACTTGTGTATCTTTTTATGTGGTTTTAGCTCTTAAATATTTAGGTCATTGATCTAAAAATGGGCCATTTTGAGTTTATTTCTGGGCATGGTATGAAAAAAGACATCTATTCTTGAACGTGTCTATCACATCTCTTAAATTTCCCATGTCTCAAATCAAACTTAATAATCCTCCCCCATGCCTAGCCGGGTAGCTCAGTTGGTTCGAGTATCATCTGGATATGCCAAGGTTGTGGGTTTGATTCCTGGTCAGGGCACATACAAGAATCGACCATAAGGAACAAATTGAAAATATATATATATATTCCTCCATCAAACCTGCTCCTCCCAAGCTCAGATTAAAAATCTTAGAGACATTCTTGACTTCTCTTTTTCTCTTATAATGTACATCTCAATCATTAACAAATCCTCTTGGATTCACCTTCAAAACAAATGCAAAACTTACTGCCTCCCCCTTTACTAACCTGAATTACTGCAATTGCCTTTAACTGGTCTTCCTGCTCACCTCTGTTTCCCTACAATCTATTTAACAAGCAGCCAGTGACCCTGTGTAAAGGATGTCTCTGCTCTAAATCCTTTGACTATTTCCTATCTCACTTAGAATAAATACCCAAAGTGCTTTCCATGGCCTACAATGTCCTATGCAATTTGCTCTCCTCCTCTACCCACCCCACCCCCGCCCCTGCATGCCCAACACATACTTTTCTGGTCTCATCTTTTTCCCTGTCCCTAACCCTTCCTTAAACCAGCTCTAGCAGTCCATGGACTTCTGGCTGTACTTCTAACAAGCATGCCCTTTGTATTTACTGTTCCACAGACTGGAATGCTCTTCCCCTAGATACCTTCATGGCTAGCCTGCTCACCTAATGCGGGCCTTTGCTCAAATTCACCTTCTGACTAAGGCTTCCTCTAATTGCCTTGTTTAAAATAGATATTATACCTCCCCTGCTACTTCTTATTCCCTTCTCCCACTTTTCATCATAGCACTGTATTTATCACCATCTGACACACTGTACATTTGTCTATTCCCCCCTCTTCAGACTGTTAACTCCATGAGAGCAGGGATTTTGTGAACTGTCGATCTGTACACCCCCAGTGTTCAGAACAATGCCCAGCACATAGTAGGCCTTCAATAAATATCTGTGAAACTAATAAGTAAATAAATAGCATGTTATATAACAATCGCCTGCTTATATTCTTGAATGGACTATGAGATTTCTGCAGGCAGCAACACTCATTCATTTGTGAATTTCCTGCATCTAACACACGTAGTAGGTGTATTGATCTGAAATCACTAAATCAAAGAGAGGTCAAGAATCCTCAGCGTTTCAAACACAGCCCCTATGCTATCACTCTCTCTAACAGCGTGTTAAGTTACCTCAAAGAAGGTTTCAATACTAATTTTCATGCCTTCATGCGTACTTCCCCCACCCCTACCTCCTCTCCGCCGGCTCCGTTATCCCCACAATAACCAAGCACATAATGAGTAACAGCCTGAGCCAGAATTTGAACCAGGAGCAAGTCCGAAGGAGACAGCAGTTGTGACGAGACTTGAGATCAAACAAGGTGGCCGGACTCCAAAAAAGAAACACTGTCCCGGAGGTGGTGGCAAGGAGAGGAAAGGGCCCCGGTACCCACAATCATAGACTCCAAGTCCCTCTTTTGACAGCTGGGGAAACTAAAGCCCAGAGAAGAAAGCGACTTGTCCGAAGTCACAGAGTATGCTAACCACGACAAGAACCCACTTATCCCTCCTGCCCGCCACCCTAGTTGCTTCTCATTTCGGGTGATACCCTCGGCGCCGAACCTCCGCCGGCGCACGTGCTGCGAGATCCCTGGGTGCCCAAAAGTCCAATGCTCGCGGCCCGGTCCCCACTCGGGTCTGATGAGGCTGGGGTCGAAGACTGTGCCCCCCACCCACACACACTCCTCTCAGCCCCGGACCCGGGCACCGCAGAGGTGGGCCCAGGCTGCCAGCAGCGCGCCCGCCGCTTACCGGGCCGGATCCCGCGGAAACCTGAAGAAGGCCAAGTCCGACTGCGTGCTCTTCCGCGTGCAGTTGGGGGCCGCGCAGAAATTCGGCATCGTCGCCCGCCCGCAGGCGGGCCCACCGCTCCCCTCCCCGCCTCCTCAGGGCAGCCCGCCCGCCCGTCGGGGCCGGGGAGGGGAGCCAGGCCGGCCGGCCGGCCGGCTCGGCAGGGCCGGGGGGAGGGGCGGGCGGGCAAGAAGCCGCGAGGGGCAGGAGGGGCGCCGCGGTCCGAGGCCGAGCTGGGGATGCGGCTCCACAGTGCTGTGAGCGGCCTGGAGGATTTACCGCCACCGCCGCCGCTGGTGCACCTCCCGCCCGCCCGGGACGCTGCCGCCTCCTTCCCACAATGCACCCTGGCGCCCGGGGGTGCCCTCTCTTCCCTTAGTCTTCCTCCCCCGCCCCTTCCCTTCCGCCGATTTCTCCGCAGGCGGGCACGCGCAAGGAAACGCGCCTGCCGGGGTGTGGCCAGCTGGAGGCGGGGGTTGACGCCAGGTGCCACAGTACGCCTGCGCAGTTCTACCCCGAACGGGAGGGAATTGCGTATGCGGGCGTGTCTCTTGGACTCTAGAGCTGGTGAACCCAGGGCTGCTTCGGTAGGTTTGGCGTTCGCGGGATTCTGCATTTCTGGGGCGAGCTTACACGTTACGTCACTGGTGTATCTCTCCTTGCTTGTTTAAGATACCACCACTTAGGCCTCTGTTAGAGAAATCGCCATAGACTTTTAATCGCCGCGGAATCGGGACGACTTTGGTTACTGATTTGTACACTCCCGGCAGATCTGCGTGCAGTGTGTTGGACGCAGAGGTGGGTTGTAGGAGATTTCATTTTCCCCACCTTTGCGGCTACTGTTTAGCCCCATTAGCTTCTCAGAACGGGCTTCCCCAGCTTCGACTAAAAGCTGAGGGCCGAAAACTCAGAAAAGCAATTCCTTTTTCCTGGTGAGGCTTCCAGAGAATCAAGAATAGCAAGCGACCTGATTCCACCTGCAGTCGTATAAAGATTGGTCCCTCTGTCTTCCCCGTAATCGTAGCCTGTTAACGTTCCTGTGTTAAGTTCCAAAATGAGTGACCGCTATCTAGAACAAAGGATTAGTATAAAATTTTGCGTGAAATTAAACAAGTCTGCAAGTGAGACCCACCATCTTTTAAAAGAAGCGTATGGGAATGAAGTCATGTCTAGGGCCAGGGTTTTTGACTGGCACAAAAGATTTAAAGAAGGACGGGAAGATGTTCGCGATGATGCCCGAAGTGGCCGTCCAGTTACCCACCGGACAGATGAAAATGTCCAAAAGGTCAAGGACTTGGTTTGTTCAAACAGGCAGTTAACAGTGAGGATGATGGCCGAAGAGTTAAATTTAGATAAAGAAACTGTCAGACTCATTCTGAAAGAAAACTTGAACATGAGAAAATTTTCTGCCAAAATTATATCCGCTATTTTGAAGGATAACCCTAAACCTCAAAAACTAGACTTTTGTTCTGACCTTTCCAAAGAAACTAGGAAAAATAGGTTGTGTGTGAAGAAAAGGGTAATAGGCTCTGAAACATGGAGGCATCTTCAGTGTGAAGCTGGCAGGGAAATGCCTCTCTGCCTGTCTCCCATCCCAGAATCCACTGTGCTGCCAGCCAGCTTCTGCAGGCCTCATCTTCAACAAGCCTTCCCACCAGGGCAGCTCAGGACTGGTTCACACTTTGGTGAAAGGATTGTGAGGTAGCTAAACCTGAGCTAAAAAGCTGCCTCACTGCTAGGCACCTTCATTTGCTGCTGCTCTGTTTCCAGTCATCTGTACCATCCCTCCCTCCATGCCGTGGCTCTCCTGGTTACTCTGCTGGACTTGGGCCATATCTTCCTTGCTGTTCTGCACAACTTTGAAGAACCTGTGGCTGCTGACTTCTGGTTCTTGCTTGTTCTTGATTTCTTTTGCTTACCAAGTTTGGATCTCTTCACTGCCCAGACCTTAGATTGTTGTGGCTGTCCTGTTCCTTCCTGTGTTCTCAACATTCTGCCTCAGGGGATCATACCAGTGAGAGGTGGGAGCAGGATCTCCTGGAGTCTTTATCACTGTGCCCAGGGAGGCATGCTCTTCTGGGGGGACCCCCCAGAGAAGGCCTCCAGTTCCAGCCTGCTTCACAGTCAGGGCCAGAGGTATGGTACAGAAGGCAGTGGCATGCTGACATAAAGAGCAATGCTAAGGGCCAGTCCAGCCCAAATGATTCAGTGGGAACCCCTCGGAACTTGGGTTGGCCTACCCATACTGAGCTCACAGACCTAAACCTCACAATAGAGCTGGATTTATTTCATTCTAGTCCTGTGCTTTGGACCCTGCCCCCACAACATGCACATGCTCATTTGGGTATCTTCTCTGCTGGAAGAGGAAGATCTGGTCCTTGAAAACATAAACCAGGGGACTCAGACCTAGGTTGTGCTGTGTGGGAAGGGAGACCAGGCAACACTAGACCAGACCCTGCATTAAGGGAGCTGCCTACGTGCTGAGTCCTACATGGCAGCCTGATTTTAGAAACTGTTGGCAGCATTTGTCAAGTGCTTTTTGGATACCTGCAGTTTTTAGAACATTGCTGGGCATTGACAGTGTGATGTTGTAAAACAAATCACCAAGGGCTGGGTGGACTTCATGGATGAAATGGTTCATGAGCTGGATTCATAAGGAAAGATGGGGCAAGAGGCTAGGAAATTAGGGAAAGCTTCCCAGGCAGGCAGAACAGCATGAGGCTTTGAACCTGCAGCAGTGAGAAAGAGATGGCACTTTTGGCTGGAGAGCAAGATGATGATGTTGCAGAGGATGAACAATTTGGGATCCTTTGTTTCCTCTTCTCTGCCCCCAACTCTATGCCAGCTGTTTATAAATTGTGGATAGTTTTTTTTTTAAGATTTTATTTTTTAGAGATGAGAGGGGAGGGAGAAAGGGAGAGAAACATCAGTGTGTGGTTGCTTCTAGCATGTCCCCTACTGTGCACCTGGCCTGCGACCCAGGCATGTGTCTTAGACTGGGAATCGAACTGGCGACCCTTTGGTTTGCAGGCTGACACTCAACCACCGATCCACGCCAGCCAGGGCAAATTGTGGATAGGTTTATAATAACTCACTTATTTGGTTATCTAAACTTCCATCAACCCCTGCCCCTCGCCCCCCCCAAAAAAGCAGTCTATGTAAGTTCAAACTCCTTTATGTCTTCCTGCCTCTCCGCCAGGATTTATGGAATGGAACTTTCCCCAGGTGGGTTCCAAGTAATACCACTTACACTGGAAACATCTCAGAATGACTGGTGGAGGAGCAGGGAGCAGGGTGGTTATTAACAGCATTTCACAGGATTTGCCAAGGTCTGTGCTTTACCCAAGAATTTTTATACATAACAGCTCCTTTTATTTCCCTAGTAAGTTAGTAAACAACATTGGTTGATAGCAGAGGCCCAACACTTATGTAGTCAACAGTTATTTTTAGTTTCGTTCTTTCATTGAATCCCCTCTAAAATACAAGTTCTGCACTAATCCCTGTCAGTTTTGAGGCACCCTGAAACCTAGACCTGATTACACAAACGAAAGATATTATGCAAGAAAACTCAAACCAAGCAACAGCTTACAGACTTTTTACCTACTTAGTGATTTCTAGACATTCCATTTCAGGACCACTACATCTTCCTACATCAGATGAAACCCTGGTTCCCCACAGGCACTCTGCATTGCACTCTGAGGCAAAAGTCCCCGTGGCTGTCTATTGCAGCTTTGATTGATCTCATTAAAAATATTTTTTATTAAATTTATTGGGGTAACATCAGTTAGTGAACCTCATACTAATCCTGGGCTAAAGTCCAGTGGTGACTTGCAGAGTTGTGTATTCCTGGGCCAGGGCCAGGATCCCTTCACAGTCATTCCCTTCAACCTATTATAACACAGAGGTCCTGAGAGAACTTATTTTTGGACTTATTCCTGTCCTGTGCACAGGGCTGGAGTGACCCTTCCAAAGGTGCTGGACTAAGACCATGCTGAAGTACAGGGTACCAAGAGCAATGTTGGCCCATACAGGGTTTGGACACAGCAACTGGAAACAGGTAATCAGGACTGAATTATGAAAGGGACTTTATTTATTATCTTAGATCCTGTCCCGAGTAGAAGTCACGTCAAATGACTACTTGGACTCAATGCAGGGTTTCCCAGAAAATATTCAATGAGATGACAACTCTGATGTACCTCAGATTTGGGGGAAGTAAAATTACTGCTGAAACACTCATCCAGAGCCAAACCACACATGGCTGCTCAGAATCACTAGATCCCAGGCTCAAGGGATGGGAGAGTTCATATTTTACAGTACCTTATGTGCCTACCACCAAAGCTCTTTTATTGCTGACATGAATTTTGCTCTGTCTTGCACCTTGCTGCCCAGGGCTCCTGAACCTATAGTCTCACGTATCTACCCATCATCACGCCCCAGGCTCTTGTCCTTGGCTTTTCTCAAACATCTCTCAGTTTATTCTGTACCAGTTTGCTCTTGCTCCTCTGTCTCCCTGGTTCTGGACCACACCTCCCTCCAGTAGCTGCTTTTGGTCACTTTGGTGTGATGATCTTGAATTGCCCTTTTGGTCATAGTTTTTCACTCAACTCACAGCTAACTCTGCTCTGATTTACAGATCCCTCTTCCAGCTCCTACATCAGCCTATAGCCCTCAGTAAAGAAATTGTCTGTTGTAGCCCTGGCCCCAGGTTGCCTTCCTATCCTTAGGAAGCAGGGTGGGCAACATGGTTGGGGTGGAGGAGTTCTTGTTTTTGTTTTTGATTAGGGGCATACAGAGAAAGAGAAAAACTCCCTTTCTCACCCTTAGCCAACGGGTTCCACACCTCAGCAGCAACCAGTATTACCAGTTTCTTATGGAGGCAATTTAGTTACCTCACAGAAGTTTCTCTGAAATACAACATCCAAATCCCATTCTCCCAGCAATTATATTTTCCCGGGCAAGAGAAGCTCCACCTAATGGTAGTAGATGAAGCCTAGTTCTCCGCAGGATGTCAGGAGGTGAGCTGGCAATCTGCAAGCCTTGACCGCAATTCTCGAGCTCAAAACAATCAGTTGATGAATCTCTGGCTTTCAGGCTGATCTTCCCCTTCCCCATTGGATGTTACATGCCACAGCTGGAAGTCCTGGAGGAACAGAAACCTTCCAGGGCAGATCATCCCATCACTGGTTTTATTTAATTTTTCCTGCATCCATTACCCCACCCTACCTTACACTACCTGTCCCACTGGTAATACTCAAATCAGAAAGAATAAAATGTCCACCAATCTTTGATTTTGAAAAACAGATGGAAAGTTCTGCAGTCTTAGAAATTCTGCCCCTGGCTTTGAATTCTCACTGAAATATGATTGTTTGGGAAGAAGGTGTACCTGGGACCTGCTTTCCAGAGCCCTCGTTTCAGATCCACTTAGTCAGCATTCACATGTGCCATTAGAAATGCCCCGAGAAATCTGGATGTTAAATGGTTTGATGACATCTAGCAAAGAAGTGTGGCACTACTGGAGAGTCATCTCACTATATCACAGTGACAGCTATTTAGCCAGCCTGCTCTTTGCAAACATAAGCGCCAGCAAGTCTCACTGGCCTTGGGATTGCATCTCACCAAGGTCCCATGTGGCTCAATTAGTAAGAGCTTCCTTTGCTGCTGGAACTACATATGGAACCCTGTGTTCTTCCGCTTTTTAGTGGAATCAGACCTCTCATTTTATAGGCTTTCCATCCTATCCAAGGCAGCCCTCATGTATTTATCTTCTCTACTTTCTGCCTTGTTAGATCCTTGCAAATACCTGTCCCAAATGCATCACCCCTCTACTACTGATATTCAGAAACCAAAAAAATCTGTAGTGGGAAATTTCAATACCTCCAAGGACCCACTTGGGTCTAGTGAAGGGGTCATAAAGGAAATGTCTTAGGATTTGTGGGCCACGCAGCCTCTGTTGCAACTACTCACCATTTTATTGCAAAAGCAGACAGCTAATAAGGAAACAGGTGAGCATGGCTGTGTTCTAAAAAAAGAAAACTTTATGGACATTGGAATTTGAATTTCATATAATTCTTACATGTCACAAAATATTATTTTGATTTTTTCAACCATTTAAAAAGCTAAAAAAAACCCTGTTCTTACATTCCTTAGCTTTCACACTGTAGAAAAACAGATGGCGGGCCAGATTTGGCCCATGGACCATAATTTGCTGACTCTTGGTCTAGTGTTCATAAAGTGTATATATAAAATGACAGTGATTGATTCTTTTCCATCAATAACTTTGTTAATACTAAATTGATCTAGTGGAGTCTGACAATTTGCTGTATAGAAATTATGGAATATTAAAAGGAATCTTTATGGTGCCAGGAACGTGAACTAGAGTTGAATGACTGACTGTTTTACCTTGACCCTATTCTGGTTCACAAAATGAGTTTTGTGCTCTTTTTAACTCAAAACAGTATTACACAAACCACTACCTATATATGCCCTGTAATATCTCAAAAACAATTTTGTCAGTATTACAACCGGTGATAATAGAATGAACTGAAATTGGTTCCAAAATACCCTTGACCTTGGGCAGCCTTTGAACAAATTTGTCACTTATCAAAGTGGCTACTATGGAGGTGAAATTATAGTTTTTGCATGAATTATAGTTTTTGCATGCTTGTAAAAATCTATATGTATATATTTGCAATTGGTGCCAAGGTATGTCCTTTTAGATGTGCGTGCTTGTTTTTTCCCCTAGAGAGGGCTTGTATTGGGTCACCTTCATTTAAACCGATTTTCCAAAGTTGAAATAGACTGTCAGGACTGAACAGACCTTTACAAGGGTAACCCAGCTGGTCATGTTTCCCTTGAATCCAGGGGTAACTAAATTCTACAGTTGCTGAAAAGCTGCATCTCGAAAGAAGACTCTGTGTTAATTTAACACATTGTTACTGAGTGGCTGTATGTGCCAGGCACTGTCCTGTGTGCAGGGGCACAGCAATGTACAAAACAGACCCAGTCCACAGATCTGTCAGTCTGAAATCTAATTATATTGCTCCGCTTCTGCGAAACTTGTTCCATGAGCTCACACTCATTGTTAATTACATACTTGAAATAGGAATGACCTTTGCCATAGGCCTCTGTATGTTCCACTTAAATTTTATTATCCTTTAGACAGGTCTATGTTGGTAGAAAAACACACTGGCAGTGTTGGAAGTGTAAATTGGCAACAGCTTTCTGAAAAGCAATTTGGCAGTATCTATCAGGAGCTTTAAAAATGTTTATATCTTCTGATCCTCTAATTCCAATTCTGGGAATCTGTCCTAAAGAAATAGTCTAAAATGTGGGTGGAATTTATGCTTAACAATCCAGAAGTCCAACAGTAGAAAATTGGTTGAATAAATTATAGTATGACTCTACAATAGACTGTAATGCCGTCATTAGAGTTAATGTTTATGAAGAGTTAACACTGCATGGCAAAGTGTTTATAATGTTAAAAGAGTGATATAAAAATTGTATATATAAATCAAAAATTGTTTTTTAAATGACTAACATTGTTGGAGTATGAGTATTTTCTAAATTTTGTATATCTTTTAAAAACATTTCTGAAGTATTATTAGTTTTATTATCAGAATAAAACAATAGCACCAAAGTTGGCAATGGAGAACGTGAAGCCAGAGCACTAGTTTGGCCCGTGAACAATGAACTGGCTTCGTCGGCACAGGCTGTACGGACTGTCGGGAGCAGGAGTGGGACAGAAGGGAAAGGGCCTGCCCCAGAGGAGAAGTGGTCATGACCAGAATCCCTAGAGAAAACCAAAGTGGCATGAGGAGACACCGCAAGTGGCACGCTCCTGTTATGTAGTCCAGGTAGGTAAAGGAGCGTGTAGGAATCAAGTGTATTCTGAAAAATGGAGAAGGATGTGAAATACTCCCCTGGGTGAAATTCTTCTTGGTTGGATTTCATTCTTACAATCTCTTATACAAAGGGAATATTCTCGAGATGGATTTTGTTACCACTGACTAAGAATCCTTGAGCCTTCCATGCAATTTCTTAGAATGGGAATGGCTTTTAATGTGCCAAGTCTACCTCCTACCATACCTAGGCACTCAAGCAGCACGGATGCACACCTGAATACTTGGCATTCTACACTGAGAATACTACATGCTTATCATGTCATAACTTATAAAACTCTAAGGTTTGCACATGTTATTTTGTCGGTATCCAGAATTACTGTGCTTTTTATGTATGTCTGGAGAGTTACCATGTTATGGGATTTTAAAATGAGAAGTGATATAGACCATGCCTATCCATAGATGGAATTGTTGTTATGTTGGGAAAATGTGTCCTTCATTGTTGCTTTAGCAAAATATCATTAAAGTGCCAAATGTATCTCCTTGGTGAAATTTCAGACTTTCAAATGAACACACAAGGTAAATACAGGTTTATAGGCATACAGATTATGAGTTTGTCAAGCTGAAAGAGTTCTTCAATATTTAAGTCTAAGTCTAATTATGTCCTTTGGTCATAAAAAGAACAAAAGCATGAGACTTGGGTTTCAGTCCCCCTCCTTAACAAGGCTGTGGTTTTGGGCGTTTCACTTGCACCCTTGGGACACTGGCCTCTTCATCCCTGAAAGGAGAGGAAGAACACCTGTCTCACGGGGCTGTTCGGTTTGTTTATTCAACAAGTATTTATTGAGTGCTTGTATGTGTCTGCCACTGTCCTGGGCACTGAGGATGTAGTAAGTGACAAAAATGTTCCTCATGAGCATACATTTAAGTGGGGGAGGCGGGCAGAAAATAAGAGAAGTTAGTCAAAATACAGTATATTAAATAGTGACTCTTAGATGTGAGGCTCACATTAAATAATGTGTATGACGGGCCCAGCACAAGACCTGGCATGCAGTAAGCACTCAATAGATAGTAATTTCCTTTGCTTCTTTGGTCTTCCTAACAGCTCCTGAATTATTCTACAAGGTGGTAGTAAATTGGCAAAAAACCTGACTCATTGCCTTCTATCTCTTGCCAGTTAATAAGGCCTAAACCTGTTTTTGCTTAAGAAGACAAAGGA